TCCCTCTCTCTCTCCCTCCCTCTCCCCCTCCCCTCTCCCCCTCCCTCTCACAGCCACATACTCCCTCTCCCTCTCCCTCTCCCTCTTCCTCTGACAAAATCACAGTGGTCACCCGCCTGCTTCTCCAACAGGCAATGCTGAAACCGACAGTCAACAGTCAGCACATTAGGCATTGGATCGTAGAGTTTGTGGCACGGGGTAGGCTTTTACGGCAGGATTCAGTGCTTTGGTGTCAGGCAGCTTGCCATGGAGGGTTAATAACATTATGCCAGTCATGCCCCAGGGGCCTGCCTGTAAACAATTTTCGGAAAAATGTGCTTAGAAGAACTCTTTGCTTAAATAATAGAAAATGCTGCTAGCTACGCCCAAAGCAACGATTGCTCAAGCCATGATGCTGGTCACAAGATGGTTAGCGTAGTTTCTGCCTTTTGCTTTAAAGATAACATCACTGGTATCTTGCAGAGTCTTGGTTCTTCCACCAAGCACAGGGACAAAGACACCATACAAGGTGCCCTCAGGAACTAAATTCATGGGGCTGAAGGAAACCACTGAAGTTTGCACAGAAACTAATCAATCAGCTTTGCCCCTGACCCCTAACCCTCCATCTTGGCCTTTTAATACCCTTGAGGGCCTGGCTAGTGTGGCCCAGGGGTTGAGCATCGACAGATGAACCAGGAGGTCACGGTTCCATTCCGGTCAGGGCACGTGCCCGAGCTTCGGGCTCCATCCCCAGTAGGGGGCGTACAGGAGGCTGCTGATCAAAGATTTTCTCTCATGATTGATATTTCCATCTCTCCCTTCCCTTCCTCCGTGAAATAAAATTTATATAATCAATTTATATATATATATAAATATAATAAATTATATATATATGTATGTATATATATATATGTATGTATGTATATGTATATATATATAAAATCCTTGATGAAAAACCATCAGGGAGTCTGGGTTCTGAGTGATCGCTCCTCGTTCTCCTGCCGGGATGCCCTGCAGTAAACTGGTTTAACGTCCCCCCTGCACAGGTCAGTGTCCGATGTTTGGCCATCCGAACAGTGTCGGGAGCTCCCTGGCTCAGTAACCGTGCTCCCTGCCCCAGGGCCTTGGCACTGGCTACTCCTTCTCCCCAGAGGCCCCTCCTCCGTTATCCGCGGGACCCGCACCTCCATCAGGTCCTTTCTCGCTGTTGCCTTCTCAGCGACACCGTCTCCGGAGCACCTGTGTGAACACGGGCCCACACCCCCAGGCCTCCTTGTTCTCCTTTCATGGCTTGTTTTTCTCCTTCACCCTGACAGCCATTCCACACCCTACATGTCACGTATTTTCCTTTTCTTCACACCCGGCCCCTCACTCTAGTGAACGTTAACTCCGTGAGGGCAAGGTCTTTGCATGTTTTAAATCTATTTTGTTCACTGCTTTCCTCCCAGCCTGGTACCAGAGGTGGTCAGTGAATATCTCTTCTTATTTAAAAAAAAAAAAAAATATATATATATATATATATATATATATATATATATATATATATATATATATATATATATTCTTATTGATTCCAGAGAGGAAGGGAGAGATAGAAAGATCAATGATGAGAGAGAATCATTGACCCTCTGCTTCCTGCACACCCCGTACTGGAGATCAAGCCTGCAACCCCAGCATGCGCCCCTGACTGGAACTGAACCTGGGACCTTCCTGTCCGCAGTCCCATGCTCTATCCACTGAGCCACACGAGCCAGGACAATGAATATGTTTTGAAGGAGTGAATGAACCCGGGCGATGGTGGGGGGTGCCTATAGCCTGCAGACATCCAGTGTGAACCCCTGAGCCAGGCGGGGAGGAGAGGGGAGGCTTCGGGAAGGAGAGAGCGTCAGAGGGAGCCAGGTCACTCACACAGTTCTCAGTCCAGGAGGAGCCCCTGGCCACAGGTAAACCCACAGCGGGAGCACCCCCTCCCCGCCTCCCCCCCAAACTCCCAGCCCAGCCTCACCTCGTGCGCGTAGGCGCGGCCGATGCCCCCGGTGGCTCCGGTCACCACTGAGCGGAGAGAAGGAGGGTGAGCAGCAGGGGGCCTGCACTGCCCAGCCCCGCCTCACCCCTCCCCGGAGACCCGGCCCCTCACCCTCCCGTCCTCACCCCCATCCGCCTGGACTCCCACTCCTGCTCCCCTCACCGGACCGTTCCGGGGACTCCCTGCCCCCTCGCCCCGGCTGGCCCAGCCTTCACTTCTCCTGCTTCCAGGACTGCCCTCTGCCTCTGCCCGAACGGGGGCCCGAACCTGTCATCCGTCCTGGTCCCTGCGTCCCCGCGGCCCCCTCCACCCCCCGCCCCGGCCCCGCCGCTCACCTGCCCAGGCTCCGTGCGCCCGGAGCCAGGGCGCCCCGCGGCGCACCGGGGGCAGCAGGTGCACGTAGACCGCGCAGCCCGCGCCCCACGCCGCCCGCAGCAGCAGGCACAGGGCGGCCGCCGCCCCCAGCGCCCGCAGCGCGTCCCACTCCGGCCCCATCGCCGCCCCTGCAGCCGCCGGACCCCGCGCCGACAACCGGGAGGCTGCCCCGGTCAGTCTGTCCACCTCCACCTGCGGCCGCCGCGCTGACCCTCCCCTCCCGGGCCCCGCCCCGCCCCGCCCCGCCCCGCCCCACGTCCGAGAGGTCCACCGGCTGGAGGCCAGCCCCCCCGTCCCTGCAGGCCCGGGCAGCCTCGGCCCTCCCCCCGCCCGGCTGCGGGAAGCGGCCACGGGTCACCTTTGTTTGGGTCACGGAGCTCACCTTGGCGACTGGAGAGAGTTTTGTCAACACGCAGAGCTGGTCTGGAGGCTGCATCCACAGACGGACGGAGGCCAAGGCCCTCACATGGCTTTGCAAGGCCTTGCTCCTCCGCCTCCTTTTACAAATTCTATTTCTTTCTTTCTTTCCTTCCTTCCTTCTTTTTTTCTCTTTCTTTCTTTCTTCTTTCTTTCTTCTTCTTTCTTTCTTTCTTTCTTTCTTTCTTTCTTTTCTTTTTCTTTCTTTCTTTCTTCCTCCTTCCTTCCTTCCTTCCTTCCTTCCTTCCTTCTTCCTTCCTTCCTTCCTCCTTCCTTCCTTTCTTTCTCTCACTTGTTCTTCATGTGTATTATTATTAGCGTGGTACACTATACACAACATAAAATATGCGACGTTAATGATTTCTGAGTGTACAGTTATCAGCATTAAGTACATTCACAATGTTGTGCAATCATCCCGTCCCGGAATATATGTCATCATCCCAAATAAGAACTTTGTGCCATTAGATAATCTCCCCCATCCTTCCTTCCCCCAGCTCCTGACTTTTTTTTTCTTTAACAGAGGAAGGGAGAGAGAGAGAGAGAGAGAGAGAGAGAGAGAGAGAGAGAGAGAGAGAGAGAGAGAGAGAAATGTACCCCCCTCTGAATCAAACCAGAAATCCTTTAGTGCTCAGGACGCTGCTCACCCCGCTGAGCCACACCAGCAGTGAGGTCCTGACCATCTTTATTCTTCTTTCTGTCTTGATGAACTTGCATATTCCAGATGCCTCATTTCAGAGAAAGCATACCTCTGTCTTTGAGTGTCTGGCTTATGTCACTGAGCATGAATGTGTCCGGCGTTTGTCTATGTTGAAGCCTGTGCCAGAATGTCATTCTCTTTTATGGCTGAATACCGTTCCATTTTTTAATACACCGCAGTTTGTTTAGTCATTCGTCTGCTGTTGGACATTTGGGGGGTGTCTGCCTTTGGCTATTGTGACTAACAGAACCATGAACATTTGTGTGAAAGTATCGGTTTGAGTTCTGCTTTTGAGTCTCTTGGGTGTGTATCTCGGAATGGAATTGCTGGATCGCATGGTAATTCCATATTCGGCTTTTGAGAAATCCCCATACAGTTTTCCATAGGAGCTGTATCATTTTACATTCTCATCAGCAATACACACAGGTTTGCAATTTCTCCACATTTTCGCGGACACTGTGACCTTGTGTTGTGCTTTGATTTGCATTTCCCTAAGGAACAGATCTATGCTTTTTGTTTGTTTTTTTGTTCATTTTTGTTTTCAAGCAACCGCGGGCAGTAGAGTGTAGTAATCAAGAACCTAAGCTGTGGAGCCAGGAAGAGTGCCATTTGTTTGTTTTGTTTGCTTGTTTTTCAGTCCTCACCCGAGGATATTTTTCCATTGATTTTTTATTCTTTTTTAGAGAGTGGAAGAGAGAGGGAAAGACTGAGAGAAACATCTACGTGAGAGAAACACATCGATCGGTTGCCTCCTGCAGCGCTGGGGATTTAGCCTGCAATCAAGGTACGTGTCTGGACCAGAATCGAACCTGGGACCCTTCGGTCCACAAGCCGATGCTCTATGCACTGAGCCAAACCGGTTAGGGCGAACAGATCTATCTTTCATGAGTTTATTGGCAATTCACATATCTTCTTTGGAGAAATATCTGTTCAACTCTTTTGCCCTTAGTTTGAATTGGGTTACCACTTCGGGGGCGCCTCTTGCATCCTTTTGTTGCTGAGTTGTAGGAGATCTTTAAATATTCTGAATATCAATCCCCTCACAGATGTATGATTAGTGAATATTATTTTCTCTTCTATAAAAACTGTATAGTTTTAGCTTTGTCAGGTCTTTGATTCATTTTAACTTTTTTAAACACATGTTTTTACAGATTTTTTAAGAGAGAGAGGACGAGAGATATAGAAACATCAATGAGAGAGAAACATCGATTGGCTACCTCTTGCATGCCTCTTACTGGGGATTGAGCCTACAACCTGGGCATGTGCCTGACTGGGAATCAAAGCCATGACCTCTTGGTGCATGGGTCGATGGTCAACCACTGAGCCACACTGGCCGGGCCTCATATAAATTTTTGCATGTGGTATAAGGTAAAGAATAAGCTTTGCTTTTTTGCATGTAAATATCAAGTGTTCCTAGCACTATCTGCTGAGAAGACCATTTTCCTATTGAATGCTCTTGGTACCCCGTCAGAAATAACTGACCAAAAAATAAAAAATAGCACCATGTATGTGAAGGTTTATTTCTGGGCTCTTGATTCTATTCCACTGGCCTATCTGTCTGTTCCTATGCCAGTGCCACTGTTTTGATTACTGTAGCTTTGTACTTTTTTTTTTTTTTAGCTATTCAGAGTCCCTTGAGATGGTATCCAAATTTTAGGATGGATTTTCCTATTTCTACAAAAAACCACACTGTTGGAATTTGGATAGGGATTGCACTGATTGTTTTGGATAATACTGAGGTCTTAACAACATTAAGTCTTCTGATCCATGAACATGGAATGTCTTCCTATTTATTTGTGTCTTTTTTAATTCTTTCAGCAATAGTGTTTTGTTTTTTTATGTGTGTTTTTCATTGATTTTAGAGAGAGAGAAAGAGGGAGGGAGAAACATTGATGTGAAAGAGAAATCAATTACCTCTGGCACACATCCCCAGAGTTGTGGGCTCAATCCCATAGTGATTGAGAGGCAGCCGATCTATGATTCTCTCTCATTGTTGATGTTTCTATCTCTTTCCCCCTCTCCCTTCCTTTCTAAAATCAGTAAAAATATACTAGTTTTTTATTTATTTATTTTTTTACAGAGAGGAAGGGAGAGGGACAGAGAGCTAGAAAGGTTGATGAGAGAGAAACATCAACCAGCTGCCTCCTGCACACTCCCCACATCGGAGATGTGCCCGCAACCAATGTACATGCCCTTGACCGGAATCGAACCTGGGACTTTTCAGTCCGCAGACCGACGCTCTATCCACTGAGCCAAACCGATTTCGGCAAAATATATTAGGTAGTTTTTAAAAAGGAAACAAAGAAGAAAAGGTCGTACTTAAAAATGGAGTTTTTACCCTAGCTGGTTTGGCTCAATGGATAGAGCTTCAGCCTATGGACTGAAGGGTCCCGGGTTCGATTCCGGTCAAGGGCACAGGCCCAGGTTGCAGGCTTCATCCCTAGTGGGGGTTGTGCAGGAGGCAGCTGATCCACGATTCTCTCTCACATTGATGTTTTTCTCCTCCTTTCCTCTCTGAAATCAATTAAAAAAAAAAATATATATATATATATATATATATATATATATATTTTTTTTTTTTTTTTAAGTAAGATTTTATGCGACTCCACGTTGGTTTCATGAGGAGAGGGCAAAGCTCTGGCTTGGAGTGCAGCTGGAGCTCAGTCCTCCCTCCATGTGAGCTTCAGCTGCAGGACTTGCAGGGGGTTTTTTTGTTTGTTTGTTTGTTTTTAATATTTTATTGATATTTTACAGAGAGGAAGAGAGAAGGATAGAGAGTTAGAAACATCGATATGAGAGAAACATTGAGCAGCTGCCTCTTGCACACCCCCTACTGGAGATGTGCCCACAACCAAGGCACATGCCCTTGACCGGAATCGAACCTGGGACCTTTCAGTCCGCAGGCCGACGCTCCACCCACTGAGCCAAACCGGTTTCGGCATGACTTGCAGTTTTGCTCTGTTTTCTCTGAAAGGCAACTAACTCACTTCTTAGAAACAGGACGGGAGTGGCCCGGTTCTGTGGGACAGCCTTTTGGGTCACGGAGGCTCCACCCTCCGCACCCACTTCGGGGGCGCCTCTAGCCTCCTTGGTAAGCTGCTCTCACCCAGGAAAGCGCCTCCCGCCTCGGTCTCTCCGTGGAAAGGCTTACTGGGCTGAGTGGCTGCTGGAATGAGAACACCTTCAAGATCCTTCTCTTCAGAGGCCGGAGGGCTCCTGTCGTCTGGAAAAACCTGTACATTTATTTGAACTATGCCTTAGAGAGGCTCGCATCCTAAGTAAACACCCTGTTGGAATCTAAGACCAAACTGAAAGAGGGAGCTTTAGCCTGTTTGGCTCAGTGGAGAGAATATGGGCCTGTGGAAGATCTGGGGGAGATAATATCATAGTTCAACCGAAGGACTTGTATACATGCATGTAAGTACAAACAATGGACATAAGACTCTGGGGAGGGAGGGTATGTATGGGAGGGAGGGAAGGGGGCAAAAAAAAAAATAAAATAAAATCAATAAAATATTTTTTTTTTTTTTTAAAAAAGAATATGGGCCTGTGGATAGAAGGGTCCCAGGTTCGATTCTGGTCAAGGGCACGTATAATACGTGGGGGAAAGCAACCAATTGATGTGTTTCTCTCACATTGATATCTCTCTGTCTTTCCTTCTCTCTTCCACTCTCTCTAAAAATCAATGGAAAAACATCATTGAGTGAGGGAAAGGAAGAAAAGAAAGGAAGGAAGGAAGGAAGGAAGGAAGGAAGGAAGGAAGGAAGGAAGGAAAGCAATTTAACTTAAATGTATATTTTTAAAAAGAATTGAAAGAGGGGACACACGCTTGGCTAGGAACCAGAGGAGTTTCAGGTTCAGTTCCTGGTCAGGGCACATGCCTGGGGTGCAGGCTCAATCCCCAATAGGGGCATGCAGGAGGCAGCTGATCAATGATTCTCTCTCATCCTTGATGTTCCTATTTCTCTCTGAAATGAATAAAATATATATATATTTTAAAAAATTTAAAAACAGCCCTGACAGGGTAGCTCATTGGTTAGAGCATCATCTCCAGACACCAAGGTTGCTGTTTTTTTGTTTGTGTGTGTGTGTGCGTGCTT